AAAAGGTAGCTTACGCACGTAAAGATAATATAGATCTAGTAGTAGAATAATAGCGCTACTAATAATAATACACTTCTATACTACTACTTAATCTTTATAGATTTATAGAATATATTATTCTTAGTGTAGAGTAAAAAGAGCTATAAGTGTAGAGTATTATTTCTAATACCTAGGTATTTATAGAAAGATAGAATTTACGCTAATATTAGTATTACTAGTTTATATTATAATATAGATAAGGCGTAGTTTAATAGATAGGCTAAGAAAGAAAGTTATATTAGACTTAAGTTAAAACCTATATACCTTATACTATATAACGTAAGAAGCTATAGCTCTAGAAGCTATAATAGAGTTATAGAGTATTCTAGTAGTATATATAATATTAGCTTATACGCAGTGTTAGCTTATACGTAGTGTTAGCTTATACGTAGTATTAGCTTATATATAATAGAGTTAACTCTAATAGAAGGCTAGTGTAATAGCTCTTAATATATACTTATTCTATAGTATTTATATAGAATTCTAGTATATTCTAAGTAGCTCTAAATATACTACTATAGTGTATATTTAATTCTATAGTAATAATAGAGTTCTTTTTATTTTTTATCTATTCTTTAGCTATAGATATTAGAGTATTTTTTTAGAATAGTTTAGAAATATTCTAGAATTAATTTAGACTACTTACTAATAAGTAGATTATATAACTTAAAATACTTAGCCTAGCTTACTATAGTAAGTAGTACTTTTATTCTACTTTATAAAGAATTTTTAATATATAGTATACTAGAATAAGCTTTATTAATAGTGTAAAGAAAGTAAATAATATAGAATCTTATATAGTAGCTAAGATAGTACTTCTAGTTTCTATTAAGCTAGTTAAGGCTAGTAAGATACTTTCTAAATTCTAAGCTAAAATAAGTATAGATTAATTATAGATTAATTTAACTTACTAGCTATCTACTTAGTATTTATATTAATAGTAATACTATAGAAACTATGTGCGTAGAGATACTACTATTATACTAGCTAATCTAAACGCTTCTTAATAGTCTAGAAGAAGGTAGTAAATATCTTTTAGTATATTTTAGAAAACTTAGTGTTAGTAGTAAAGTATCTAAATATAATAACTACATAGATTAGCTATAGATTAATCTAGAAGTAATTTACATACTCTTTTTATAGCTTTTTAGTATAGTAGTAAAAAGAATTTCTCTCTAACTATTATAGTAGCGCTTAAAAGATATATCTATCTAGAAGAGTTTTTATTTTATAAGTAGTTTAGCTTACTTATTCTATACTTAGATAATAATATAGCCTCTACTAGCTAGTAAGATTTAGTAAATATATATCTACGTAGATTAATTTAGAAATATTTAGAAAATAATTTAGATAGCGCTTATAGTAGTAGAGTTAGAATAATTTACTTTTTTTTTAAAAAGAACCTTTTCTAGACTAGTATCTAGAGAAAATATAATTAATCTTTAGATAGTAGCTATTCTTATAAGATAGTTTTTATTTACCTAAGTAGTATAAAGTTCTTTAATTAATAAAACTCTACGCTATCTTAAGTAGAAGGTAAACTAGTTAGACTATAAAAAGGTAGCTAAAATAGTTTAGAAATAATTTAGAATTAATATTTATAAAATAGCTTATATCTTATAGTATTTAGTATTAATATTAATTAGAATATATAAACTATATTCTTAACTAATTCTATATCTAGCTACTAAGGTAGAGAAAGTATATACTAGTGTATACTAGTTAAAACTACTATAAAGTATAGAACCTACTTAAAATATAAAAGAATAATAATATTAATTACTATATTATAGTCTTATAGAACAAGTTTACTTTAACTCTAGATATAGTTAGTATCTAAAATAGTTTAGAATTAATCTAGAAATATTCTTTAAGAACTTACTATAGTTTTTTAGATATAAGATCTAGAGCTTAACTATATTATAGTTTTTATAAGAGCTTTCTACTCTACTATCTAAAAGAGCTTATAAGTAGGTAATATTAATTCTTAGTAGTACTCTTTAGATATAGTGCCTTATATTACCTAGAGCGTAATTACTATAGATAATAAACTAAGAGGTAGGCTTTATTACTTACTAGAATTAATTAGAAATTATTTCTAAAATAGTTTAACTATATATACTATTAATTCTACTTAAAATAACTCTAGACTATAAGAACTTTCTCTATTAGTATAAATACTATCTCTAAACTAACACTAAAGCTTATTAAAGTAGCTTCTAGCCTTTCTTCTCTTTCTATTCTACTTAATTTAGTTTATAGATATTTTTATCTACTTAAGTATTTTATATAAGCTTTTATCTACTTATAAGTAAGTAAAATTCTATAATTAATTCTAAATATATTTATATATTTTAATACTAGAGTACTTAAAAACCTATTTTAAGATAGTTAAATTTAAGAAAAAGCTAAAAGTCTTTTTCTTCTCTACTTTACTAGCTTTATAGTATTAAAACTACTTATACTAGATTAGTTTTAAATTAATCTAGAAATAGTTTATATAAGCTACTTATACTTTTAGTATTTTATAATACTTTCTTAACTAAAGAATATTATTTATTTACTTTTAAAACTTAAATAATATAAGTATAGTTTCTAGAGTCTATACTAGAGTATTAGAGTAAATATATAGTATACTTAATAACTTTAGTCTTTAAGAAAAGCGCGCTACTATTTTTAGAAGTAAGTTAAACTATACTCTAGTTTAAATAAGTTTAGAATTATTTTAGAATTAATTTAACTATATACTTTAACTTAGTCTTTAATACTACTATTATTACTCTTACTAGAGCTAGATAAATATAGATTAAATTTCTTATAAATATCTAGATCTAATATATTAAGATTAAGAAATTTAGGCTTAGTATTAAATATAGGTAAAGAAGGCTTTATATTATAATATAGATGTAATTTAGTCTAAATTAATTTAGAATAAATCTAAAAATTATTTAAATTAAAATTTTATTACTAAGTACGCTAATTCTTTTAAGTAGTATAATGCTAGTATACTATATTTTAAAAATTACCTATTTATATTAGCGTATACTATATCTTAGCGCACTTTTAGTTAGATAGACTATATATATATAGAGAACCTTTATAGGCTTATATATATTATATTAATTATATTAGCTATCTTATAGATCTACCTAAAAGCACACGCGTAATAAAGAGCTTTAATACTTACTTAGACTAGTTATATAGATAGCTTAGTCTTTAAGCGCGTATTAGTAGATTAATATCTTAGAGAGTCTAGAGAATATACTAATTAATATCTAGGTTTACTTAAGATTTATTACAAGAAGGTTATTAGAGTAAAGCTTAGGCTCTAACGCTACTAGAACTTTAGAGTATAAGAAAGTAGTAATAAAGAAGCTAGTAGCCTCTATAGCTAGTGCGCTTAAACTTTATATACGTATAATATAGTTACTAATAACGTTACTAGTAAAAGCGTAATTTAAGACGTAGTAAAGAGAGTAGTTACTATAGAAGAAAATATATATATAGTAGTAGATTCTAGAGTAAAGCTACTAATATATACGCGCTTTATACCTAGAGAAGAGTATATAACTATATAACACTTTTATAACTATAGGCGTAATTAAGCTAAACGTCTTTCTAGTATACTTTTGCACTACTATAGATTAACCTTACTAATATTAGGTAGTAGAATCTATATATAGGCTAGTTACTATATCTAAGTATATCTAAAGCTATCTATAAGAGTTCTAGAGAACTTATATTAGCTATAATGCGCTCTAAGAGTAGAACTTAGTAGTCTAACTTACGCGTTCGGCTAATCTTAGTAGTAGCACTTTTCTACTTAGTGTAAATTACGAAAACAATGTTCTAAAACTACCTGTTTAGGTAGTCGCGAACATTTTTAATTAGTATAGATTGTATTATTCGAGTGTATTAAGTAATAAGAGTTATCTATCCGTTTAGATTGTTTATAGGCGAACAAGGCTAGAGTGTTATTAACCTCTAATTATTCTACTAGTAGTAAAAGCATAATTGCTCTAAGTACAAAAGTTGTCCTGTCGCTCTAAAAACACCTGCGCGCCTCTCTTTCGGTACAAGGTATAAAGGTGTTATAATGCTGGAAGCCCGGCGACTAGTAGTGTGAGTGCAGATGCCTTGAGCAAGTCGGGTAGCATAATTTGTCGCGTTATGGTCGTGATGCCGTTCACGCGTCCCCCGAGACTCAATTTGACGTTGCCGCATTGTGCGGTGGTGTGGTCGTGGTCTCTCTGCAACAAGTAATGCGCTTGTGATACGAGAAACATTTGGATGGTAATCTTCGTTGCGCAACAATACAGTTGTGCTACATCCTTTCCCTATGACAGGCAGGGAGATGAGTGCGTGCGAGATCGAGTAGCACGGGCAGAGCGGCGAATTCCGTCGTGGCCGGTCCATCTGTCAAATCGGCTAACCGACGAATGCATCCTCCAGAGTAAGCTTGTATGGGCCTTCAGCATTGGCACTTTGTGCTTGCTGTTGGACGCAAACTTCTCGTACCAACCTTCAGCATTCCCGTCCATGCGTGACCGATTGATAGGCCGCTTAGTCGAACCGGGTTTGAAAGGTCGCGACGAGGGCGTGGGTGACACAAAGTCGAAGGCGGAGTTATTAATGGTACTGAAGTGGGAACAAGCAGAAGCTTTGGAGGAGGTGGGGGCCCTGGAATTCTTTGAGTTGCGCTTAGCAAAGTGAGTGCGGAAAGAAGGAAGTGCTTCTTCCAACGAGCGCAGGCGGTTGTCCAGCGCATAGTCGACAGGATTCCATAGCAGCTCTCGCGCTTCGAGAAGGGCCGCCTCATGACGCAAGGTGCAGTCGTAGATGCTCTGCATGTAGTATGTTGCGACGTCGGCATGATCCAGCTCGTGCCAGTGCAGTCAAATGTTGAGCATCTGGCAATCGCAGGTGAAGGGGATGTGCGCGCATTCGAGCGTTGTCGCAGGTCAATCGTAGGCGATGTTGTAGGACTGGTCGAGGTAGCGGACGATCGCAGTGCCATCGGGTGCGCTCCGTAAATGGGCAATTACCGGCGCTTCACCAGTAGCGGATGTCCGTTGGAAACTGAGGAAAGGAAAGAGGAGTTCAGGGTTGAGCGTGAAGTCGACGAGCGCAGCTTCTTCGTCAGATGCAAAGGCAGTCCTAATGGAGAGATTAATGGCCTGCGTAGTAGACATATATCCGATGCAGGTATCGGCCTGAAGCATCGTCAATGGATTCATGTTGGTGTTGGGAGGCGGAGGGGGCAGGAAGTCTTGGAACAGTTTGAAGTCGAGCTTGCTGGAGACCCTAGCGACTCCATTCCTGGCATTCGGATTATCTTTGCCAGCGGAAAGCAACAGCGGCTCGAGGATACGTATCGCCGTTGTTTTACTGTCTTACGTGACGGCGAGACGATGCTCTTTGGTGAGGCGGGCGTTGGGTGAGCGAGGGCCGACTCTCTTGCTCTTCAGTACGTTATTTACATGACTCATGAGATCTTCCGGCAGGCCGCGTTCTGCATCGACATTGATACTGAAAGCCTGGAGCTTGACGCGCGAGTCCCATTGGAGGCGCGGCGGATGTGAAGAGCTGTCAGGCGTCGAGTCTTGTGTGGCTGTACTGGTTATACTGGCTGTGCTGAGCGTGTGTTGGCCGAGATTGTCGCTTGTGAGCGGAAGGACAAGCCCTGGGGCATCGAAGTCAGTGTTAACAGGTGACAGCGGGAGACAACGAGGGGGTATGAGAGGAGCGCGGCGCTTTGCTAGGCGGAAGTCCTCGTAACAGTCCGACGAAGCAATGCTACTTTCGGCGCGCGCGCACTTTCGCATGTTGACAATCCGGCTAGACCCGAAGGAGGCTCACAGCGCCTACGTCATTCGCGATCGACCGCGTGGTAACTTGACGCCCTCTAGATGGATCCGAATGTGTTGCGGCGAGCCCTGGGGATAGGTGTGCCTAACCACTAGAGGTCAAGCTACCTAGGCAGGCGGGACGTTTAGTGAGTGGAGATGGCATCACAGCAGAGTCCCAAGTTAACCCCAGCCATGCACCAAACAAGCCCTCAACGTTGAACGAGGTTTTCGTCTCTGTCAATCCGTAGGCGTTGGAAGTGTTTTGGCTTTTGTTTTGGCGTGCTTTAGCCCTCCGCAGGCCACAAATGACGTGGCCTCGCCACGCAAGGAGTGCAAGCGGCCAGTTCGCGAAGTACAACCCGAACTCCAAGAGAACCGAATCCCAATTCAAGCTGCTGCCACTTCCCATGATAATGGTTTGATGATGAGATCTTTATAACCGTTCATCTCCACTATGGAATCTACCGATCTTTGCGCTTGGAGCGATAGAAACAGTGCTCGAGGTACCTTATGTTGAACGAGTTTGGAGCTCGATCTTTGAGGACTTGAAAGTGGCGCTTCCTGACCGCGTTTTCAACAAGACTCAGCACGAATGAATCGATGTTGCTTTTCATTATCTTGCAGTGCAGGAGGGACTCGTAGGTACGCGAAAGGACATCTTCGCCGGCCGCGGGATAATCTTACAACTGCAGCTAGCCTTTGAAATCTACTGCGCGAGCTGCGTAGAGGGACCGACATCTCTTTGGGCTGTGACTGTGCCGGGGAGGGCTGAAGCGAGCGCTGTGATATGTCCTTTGGCTTGATGGGAATTAGGTCGTTATGGTGCAAAGTCGCCATCGTCGGTGTCAGATTGGGCATGGCTGTCGTCGAAGTCACGATGTGTCTACGTGGACTGTGAGAAATCCGTGGCAGTCGCCATGGTGAGGGAGTGATGGCAGCCCAGCGAGAAGGTTTTGCAGTCGATCCCGCTGGGGCAAAGTGTGAGTAATAGAGGGTGGAGAGACACAGATAGGGTCGCGGTGCAAGAAGAACAAGTGGGTGATGTAACGAGCGTTGGGTGCTGTCGGTGTGCAGCAGGCGGAGGAAAACGGCCCGCAGCCGTGGCAGTCGTTACGTTGCCGTTGTAGTAGTCGCCGAAGGAGAGGGAACACAATGAACATCGTTCCAGCCGGGGTCGACTGGAGTTCCGCTCTCGGGGTAACGAATTCAGGCCATGAGGCCGATAGCGCGGTTGCGCGATCACGCGCTCCATCGTCGGAAGGTTCGTCGTCATCTAAGGAAAAGAACTTGTTCCCATTCTAACCCACAATAATAGGCTTCGACTAAATTGTTGATTCCGGAATTCGGCTTGACGGGAGTGGTGGCGGGCTTGAGGATATATAGGCGATGAGAGGTTTGGCGATAGCAGGGTGTCGAGAACTCCTGGTCGGTCATTTCCACGTCAGCTGGACCCTTTCCTCTGGGCGCGGTGAACTCATATCCTGTCGGTCTTGTCCTTCCAGAGTCTGTATCAAAACTCTCCCCTTACTTGTCGTCCATCTCACGTTTATGCCCTCATACTCAAACTCCCACCTACGACGACAACTTCCACAATCTTGCTTTTTCATTGCCCGAGAGCGAATGAACCTTCCGCTTGCGGCATTGGAGAAGGAAGCCGACTTGACCAACACCAGTAAATAGGCCTCTGGGTCACATCCAACTTCTGAACCGCATCCATCATCCCGCGATTCCGCTTATGTAACCAAGGCGAAGGGAAACCATCCCTCTAATGTGCAGTCGCCGCTTGCGAGTTCGAAAGATATCGACTAGATGGGTAAATGTGACGGGGGTGATATTTGCAAAGTCCCCACAGAGCACGGCCTCGATGAGGAGGCTTTTCAAGGAAAGATGGTATCGCAACCGGCGTGTAGGTTTGTGACGTCAACAATCTGATCATGGGCACGCCGATGACTGACGGGTGAGTATTGAGAGGGCAATGGCACAATTCAGTCCGGTGTGATACCGACGAGACGCCCTACTCCAGAAGCGAGCGCGGACGAAAGGCCCTGAGTAGAATGAGGGCATCTCCTCGGGGGACTATGGCTTACAATGGTCAGAGATCATGGTGCGGGGGTACCACTACCAACGGCAGTGGGCTGATTTCACCACCGAGGACGTCGCCACACCGCTCCCATCACTGCTGCACCCTCGTCATCATAGGCCACCCGGACGCGTGACGAGTCACACCAGCGAAAAGACCAGAGCCCGCGTCCGAAGCGCAGTCGACTCCATGAAGACGTGGGAGGATTAGGCTACATCCTCATCTCCGAGTGTGTGAAGGATGCGGTCGTGATCATCACCCACGGCATCTTGAGCAGCGATATATTCAAAGCTTTGAATAGTAGCAATCTCAAAAGCATCTCCCTCACCAAGACTGTACCCCGTGAGCTTATATGCTGAACTGCATGCGATGAGTCCTCTTTGGAGGTAGTGCCACTGCCAGCTCCAACGCTGATCCATATCTTGCTCCGGCAGTCAGCCCACACCTCTCCGTAGGCGCAGCGGTGCCGCCAGTAGCTGGTTTGCTCCAGACTGAGCATTCGCGTCACTCATGAGGAAACACCGACGTCTGCGCGGAGTGTTCTCCTCACACCAACATAACCACATGCTCCAGCACGAACAGCTTACAGATGACAATGCGCGACTGATTATAGGGATGAAAATGGCGTGTTCGCCGCCGATGAAGCTGATGAGCAACAAGGAATGTGCTTAGTAAGTGTCTAAACAGTTAGCATAGAATAAAAGACTGCTCGCGTGTCGTACTCCTCGAAGGCATCTCCATCTCACATCACATCAGCAGCACATCACACCCCTTGTCACTTAAGACATTCAAGTCGTGTTTCCCAAATCTGCCTCCCGGTGGTAACCGCCTCGCCATAAAAGTCCTCTAGTTGGTCATCAGCATTGCCTACCCTTCGAATGGCTGAAAACACTGTTTGCAGTCGTGATGCCGAACAGTAGACGAAGCAAGAGGCTTCCGTCGTTCCAAGGTGTTATATAACTCTCTGTGCAATTCTTAAGGCCTCGTGCTTGGTACTAACGTTACCGGTCTCGCTCGTCGACCATTCTCGTCGAGGGCTGTGAGCCCATGATCTTGTAGAAGCCGTAATGCCTAAGGGTGACTTGACGCCTTTTAGGATTGCAAGGATTGCAAGGATTCTTGAAAATATTTGGTGATGATAGTAACGGTGCGATGCTCCACCAGGCGCGGATGCATCGTCATGGGGCGATGAAGCTTACTTTCCCCAACGAGAGTATAACCTCCTTCTGGCTTGTTGTCGTTTCAGGGTGCCAGGAAGGGGTCGCGATAAGGAGAATTGATGGCAGAAACGCGTGGCCGGGGGTAGTCGAGGGGTATGTGTTGAGACACCAGGCCAGCCTCTTCACTCATTCTAAGGGCCAGCTGGTTACTGCGCGGCCGGTCCAGGCCTCGAGCGTTGCTGCAGGCGATCACGGCCCGTCGTATCGCCATGCAAGTGCCTGAGGGTCCTGCTCTGGGTACAGAGCGTTGGTCGCGAGGAACACAAGGTGTCGGTGACATGGCTGTATGTTGTGTGGGAATGGAAGGACTATGGCGATTGCTGCTGCCGCCGGAGGTTCCGGCGCAGTGCTCAGCGCCTGCCGCCCCGACAGCATTGCCGGACGCGCCAACGTCCGCGCCATGCCGAGAACTCGTACCTGCGCGCCCCAATCGCTGATCTCCAGAGCTAGCTCCCGAATCGCGGTTGGTGTTGGTAGAGAGGATGGCGTGCTGGCGCGAGAAGATAAAATTGTCGATGAAGGCGTTGTGAGGTGCCCTAGAGCTCTTGCCCGGCTGCTTGGAGCCAGCCTCACTCGAACGCCACACCCCGAACACCCCGACGCCACATCATCTCCACGGCGGATACTTCGTCGATCGCAGTGCGTGGGTCATCTTGCACGTAACTGAGCAGGGAGACGGCTACCTCATCCACATCTGTGATCGCCTTACCACAGCCACCAAGCTTCAGGTCGGCGAGCAGAGGCTGACTCTAGCGAAGAAAGACAACGAAACCACCGAGGACGACCCGGTTCCTGCAGCGAAGAAACTCGTCGTCTTGCAGGACGCTGATTTTTTTCACGCATTCTTCGTCGCTTGCATCCATGGTGCTCTCGTCATTGCAAATCTACGTATGTTTCCTGAAGTGAGCGGGGAGGTTGACGAGGGGGTCCAGACCACAGGATGGCACAAGAAGCACAGCGTAGTGTCGACAAGCCCTTCGTCCTCGGCTTGTTAAGCCTATGCAAGACTGCCTACTCCGACTACTGAATTGTATACGTCGCAAACACAAACGACTTTAGCCTCAGCATCGAGCTTGGTGTTCACGAGACCGGCAATCGCGTGGATTCGGGAGCTGGGATTGGCGAAGACAGGGTCGGTCCAAGCAGGATCGATCCATGCGACTCTATCACGCCACCTGACGACATGCTCCAGGCTCTGCAATATGCAATGTGGGTAGCTTAGCTGCAGGACGGTCTGCCTCGCTCAGGTCACCCGTTCGCCGTACAGGAATCAACACATCTCAATGGGGAAGGAAATTGATTCGCCAGCAGGCATGAAGTTCGTTAAGAGAGCAATGACGTCAAGCGTCTTTTGAAGCACGTCGCTTAGGGAGCAACGACGCAACGACGCAACGGTGCGAATAGATGGCTGAAGATGTGCTGATACGCCAAAGGCATATATAAAGCTGAATATACTATGCAGCGGAACATGCGCGGTCGTTACTGCCTGTCGAAGATATCACCTCGGCATCGAATGAGAACTGAGAGATGAGCCGAACTGCGTTGCAAGGAAATTGGACAAATGACCATGAATGTCGGTGATTTAAAAGGAGTCCACAAGCTTCTCGCGCGACGTCGGTCCACATCCACAAGCGCGATCAGAAAGACGCGGTTGAAGACACCGCCAACGGTCTTAA